TTGGTAGAGCGCTGCACTAGTATCGCAGAGGTCAGTGGTTCGAATCCCGTACAGGCCTGAATTTTTTTCAGGTCTGATTTTCACTATTGCTTAAATAGTGCTTTACTGCGAAGGATCGTGCACATATACGTTTCATAACCGCAGTTCATATATATGTATTTCATATGTTTGTTGTTTGATTCATAAGTTTACAATGGAATTAGTGCTAACAACTACTGACTGATTACTACCCTCTTCAGGTCATTTTTCCGGACTTACTACTTTAACCTCTCGTGCAGTATAATTTTCCCCAGCATCCTTTTCGTCCTTTTTCTCTACATCAATTACAGCCTTTTTGAAAGAGAACCCTGCAAATGTTCGCTTGCTTCCCTTTTGAGTGCTGACGAGGTACATTTATATGCTCTGATACCATCGGAAGACCGATGACCAGTCGTTTCTTGGATAAGTTGTTCTGAAACACCACCATCATACAACCATGTAGCACAAGAACGCCTGAGAGAGTGATTAGTGTAGTGCTCTTGGATTTCTGCTGAAATATCTGCCTTCGTAGAGCTCTGTGTCATAAATAATCCTTCGTCTTCCAACGAATCCATCCTCTTTCTAACCCATGTTCGTACTGAGTAAAATGACTGAATTCTCTGGCTTATAAAGTATGCAAATTAGCAGTGTTACGCGCCTTGCACGAATTAATTCCATCATTAGAACTGTTTTGAACAACTATAACAACGAGCTACAATATCAACCCTCGGCACAATTAAAATCTAAGATATATTCATCAGAACAAAGAACAATAGCAATGAGCATCACAATTATCACACATAGGTGCGACTAACATGGAAGATCCAACACAGACACAAAACAATAGGATTTCATGGGGATCGATAATGATAATAGATAATTACTTCGGCACATGGCATTATGACATATATTGCAGCCAGCTTTAGCCTACGGCCTCAGCTGGCTGAAATATTTCTCATAATGCCATATGCCTCAGTAATTATCCATTAAATCGAGCAGTTCATCAATGAAACGAACATACTGTCTAACTTTTTGTGGAGGGTCGAGGTTCGAGGGATTCATGTCGAGCGCGAGGGTCAAATTGTCGAGGGTCGGGGGTACCTCTTTTATTTGATTGATAAAGAAAAATTAAACCGAATTCAACCAAAATAGTCTAAAACGATAAAAGAAAAAAAAGCACTTTTGTAAGATACGGATTGCCTAAAAAATATAGCAAGTGGGGAAGGGGTGAGGTTGTGAATAGCACGTGGACATCCCAGTTCCTTTTTAAAAACCTTATCAGTTTTCAAAGAATCAAATTAAGAACCCACATAAAGCTCATATTTGATCATAAATCTGGTTAGATTTTCCGTGTAACTGTAACATCAGGAAGCGAAGAAACGTGTCTAAAAAAGCGAAGAAAAAGCGTGACGTCTTTATAATTGGTTTCACAACATGGGGAGTAATCCAGCTGTCAAGGAAACTCTCGTGACATCATGTCCAAGCTCTAGACAATAACATTTCCCTCTGAAGAATTGGTGACATCTACTGACCTCTAAGTTAAACGACAGATAATATCGGCAAGCAAAAGTAGGCACCATAGTTCCGCTCCACTTTGCAGGCCTCGTAGGTTTTTACGCAAGAAGGGATTGGAACCGGCTCGGGCAAATTGGAATGCAAACCTTGGTGGCGATTTCCGGTGTCGGTAATTTCAGGCCTCATGGGTATTGCAGTGACAGATGGTGGAACCGTGTTCTTGTCCTCCAGCAAAGAACACCCACTTTTCAGCTTGAAGGAAGAGGAGATGCTTGGCGGTACAGAAACCCTAACAACAGTGTGTTGAGAAACTGCAGGCCATCGTGATGGTGTCCAAAGTTGATGGAACAAGACTACTGCTTTATCCGTATATCGAAATATGGTTTTCGTATGCGATACCGGTAGCAAAGCGGTAAGAATGTTGACGTCAGCAAAGAGACTGATCCCCCTTCAAAGTAAGATGTGCCAATATGCAAACGTGTACCGACTCGACAAGAAAGCCAAAGAAAAAGACCTTCCACGTACATTTGAAGATCATGTGAAGTTTGTCGAGTAGTTGCTTGAATTTCTCTCTAACCATGAAGAGTAAACCCTGGAGAGGACGGGCAAGCGGAATACCAACGATCTCGACATGACCAGACCTCGATGTACCAGACAGTCCTTCCTCATAGTGCTGGAATCGCTGACCAGCCTTACCAACACGCTAACGGAGATTTGGTATAGTCACCTTTTGGACAGGATCTGTTTCGAAAGCATGACAATTTTGGGCATGGAATGCTACACAGGACGAATGTTCTTATTTCAGTGCCTTTAGGCAAAATCTAAAGCAGTCTTAAAGGTTGAGTAAAGCTTTAATCGTCTTTAATTGTCAAATGAAATATCCGAAAGCTAACTCTAACCTTTAATGAATCTTTAATTGAACATAAGTTTAACTTTAGTAGCGCAAATCTTTCAGTATCCTTTAAGTGGTTTCTTTTTTGGCACAAAAGAGGGTGTTTCATTAAAATACATTTAAGTTGACTTTAAGGTGAGATTTAAATGAGTATAGCTGTTCTGACATCTTTAATTCATGCATTAAAGATAGTCTCATTGTAATCTGAACTGTCAACAGAAAATTCATCACAAATCAGCCAACACTTGCACTGATGAGCCAGAAGAGCAAATTTTGTTTTACGTGCAGCAACGTGAGCTCACAATTCTTNCATTTACAAGTGGAAGTTTTGGTTGACTAAAGTTGACTTTACAAGAATTAAGAGGATTCCTAAATTCAATTAAATGGTTATTTAGGTTTGCTTTCATGTGATCTTAAAGTGTTCATGAAATGGTTATTTAGGTTTGCTTTCATGTGACCTTAAAGTGTTAACTAAATGGTTCATAAGGACACTTTAATTGACTTCGGAAAGTTCAATTAAAGATACATTTCAGAACTTTCGTATGTCACCTAAAGATGACTTAAATACTTCTAATGTTAACCTTTAAGTTACCTTTAAGGAAACTTAATTTAGTTATTTCATCCTGTGCTATTTCAAAGGGATGCAAGCAGACCACGACATGCCTACAGTGGCTAACTACGTTTACAGAAGAGCGCTCTGCGTGGAAGACGATATGCTGTGCATTTATCAGAAGGATTTCTCATATTTCACTGGGTCCAATTGATTTTATCCAGAGAAAATTATCAAAGGTGAACCCCCGAACACCAAGAGGCGACCAAACTAGCAGTCAGCAAATCACTGAAGGAACAGATAGCAAAAAGGAGGACGCAAGGTGAAAAACTTTGAGGCGAGAATTTGCTGGGGAGTATGGAAGAGCCGTAAGACAAGAAAATATCTGCTAGAGCTAACTGGCACCCTTCCTTATGCCCTTAGTATGTGTCCCACTACCATCACACCCCTCGTTAGAGGAAATTGCAGACGTAACAACAACCTGCCAAGTCGTGGATGCTAATGTGGCACTGCGGAGTACGGCTGTACGGGTGCAAACCATTTACCAGAAAGACAACATATTGGCAGTAAGACACAACCGTAGAAGAGAGATCTCACCTTTCTGGCAAGCAGTTCCTCAGGATGATGTACAATGAGGAGGATGAATGGTGGAAATTTTGTGCAGCAAAGAGTATCCCTAAAGTGGCTAAACCAGACTAGTGATTCACTAACATACACCTCCGGTGATGTCTGTAATGGGAATTTCCCCAAGTGCATTCTAACCCAAGTACACGACTTTTCTTCCGATGGATCAGGCATCATTTTAACAACAGAGGAGAATACCAGGCTCTGTAGAATTGCTAATGGAGACTATGGTGACGATGATGACAATGAGAATGAAATTGCTCCACCAACCGCAAAGGATGAGGGAGAAGTATCCCTCCCGATGAGACTGCCGGGAGTTAGTTTATCAGGTCGGAGGACGACACGGTTTATTTCAAGATAAATGTTTTCTGTTGCCAGCGTAGCTGGTATTATAGTAATTGAACTATCTTCACGCTATTTGTTGGTAAGCTGCAACTGAATTGTTACATTTCTGTGTTGCAGGTAAACAATTCGGAGACGAATTATGTTTGAACATGAAAAGCACTGATTTTGGCAATGTGCACCGTGCCTCTTTTTTCTTGTTGACGCTGTTAACGTTGTTATTCTTAAAATTAAAATAGCCCTTTCTCGTTAGTATTCCCTCAACGATGTGGACTCAATGGACTTCAGAAACCGCTCATATATTCACAATCCTCTCGTGTAAGGCCAGTAATCATATTTTATAGTTATATTTTATATAAGACAATGTACACTTCGGGTAAAAAGAAGAAGCTTTTTTGTGAAAACGAGTACAAAGGGAAAATATAGTTTTGAAATCTGGAATCCAGCCACGTATGGAATCCGGAATCCACGAATGTGGAATCCGGAATCCACAGACATGGAATCCGGAATCCACAACTTGGAATCCGGAATCCAAGACTCTCTTAGATTACCTTACATGGGGCGAGATTATCTCTGCAGCTCAGCGATATATCGTTTTCGCCTCCCTGATACATCGTTTACATTCAACGAGATGCTGCCGCCTAACGATATCTTGCTTATGCTGAGCGATATATCATCTGCTGTCGGCGAGAAATCGCCACCGCTACGCGCTAGATCGACGAGGCAACATTAGACCGCTCGGCGAGTTCTCCATCGGACTGATATTGTATTTGTAGTAAGCATAGTGTGTGATTCTATTCGAATGTCTGTCTAGATCTCTTAAGTGTAAAATCACATTTAGTGACGACAGAGTAGTCAGCAGGCCATTAGTACACGAGTGAAAAGTCAAGTTTCGAAGTTAAATCGAAAATGAGAAGTCCACGCTTCAGCGCACTCATTGCTGTCAACTGATAGGAGAAGCGCCTCAAGCCGTAACCGGTCGTTTCCGACTAACGCTTCAATTCGATTGACTGCCGACCGTGTTTGAAAAACTTTGAAATCTATTGTACAACTGTAGGAGGACCCACCCCCAACCCCTTGAAAACCCCTATGATAACTATTTTTGATGGATAATTATTAGACTCAGTTGTGAGTGAATGAAGACACTGTGACACGGGTTTTTTCGGTGACTAAAGATGACATCGTTAGACGGAGGGATACTGAAACTATTGCGCTAGAATAGAAACATAATGCGCCGATTGATCATGACTACAGGGAAAAGCATCGACATGGCCTCCCCCCGGGAATTTAACTTTTGAAGATTGGTTCCAGCCCCCCTAGGCCAAAATCTAGTTCAACTACCTTCTCAAGTGCCAGTTTTTTGTGGGTCTCGATGAGGTTAACTGCTAGCCGTAATTCGGCAAAAAAATCAGCCGTTAAGCATAAAAATTGACATGTTTTAATCGCAAGTCATAAAAAAGGACCTAACCATAAAAAAGTTAATCATTAGCATTATAAAATTAGCAAAATTTTAACCGTTAGCCGTAAGAGCCATCTGCCTATGGAGACCCTCATTTGATTGTCACATCTGTTGTATAAGGAACTTGACTACTGAAGCTTCAAAACCTAGACCTAGACCAATATTCAGAGCCATTAGTTTGCTTTAAGTACTTCCATATTAACGATAAACCATCAGCGTTCCCTTGGAAAGACTTGACACTTTCCGTTCAAATTCCCTACCGCTCCAAGGTAAGGTTCAAAGGACAACAGTCAAAAGCCCGTGGGTTGAACCGGATGTTAAAACTGCGAGTTAAAGAGCACACATATAAAAAGACAAAAATTCAATTCAATTCAATTTTGGTTGTGGAATGCGTCAATTTCGTCAATTTCGAACCACTACCGCTACCGACAGACGACATCATGGACTTGCTAAACATTTGCCTAACGTCTACTTACTTTCAGTACAACGGTAAACACTACAAACAGTTACACGGCACTGCCATGGGGTCTCCAGTTTCTGTTGTTATAGCAGAAATTGTGATGCAGAACATCGAGGAACGCGCCCTTTCGACTTGCCGACAAACGATACCGCTTTGGTTACGTTACGTTGACGACACATTCACCGCCGTTCGACACGACGAAATTGACGCATTCCACAACCACCTTAACGAACAAAACACTGACATACAGTTTACCAGAGAAGTCGAAGAAAATGGCAAACTTCCTTTTCTAGACTGNTCAGGGAAAGGGCGAGCAAAAGGAGGAAAAGAGGAAAGGAAGAGAGGAGAGTGGGGCGGAGTGGGGACTCAAGGGTATGCTATTTAATTGTTATGTTCTTTTCATCAATAAACCACTTTCCTTTATCCTTTAAAACACTTCGCTTAAGGAAAACTAACTTGTAAACGAAAATCATTCGGAAGTTTCATAGTTGGAGGGGGAAGCTCAGTTTTGCAGAAGCTAACTGGATCTTAATCAGATTATTGAACTCAAGCCCTGAAAGAGGAATTCTTTTCGGCCTTTGGGTAAATGCACTAAGGAACGACTAACGTGCGAATGTTGTTTAACATTTGTCCTGCATTAAATATTTAAGTTGTACGGTTACCCTTGCAGTATGTTTGGGAATGGTACGCTCCTCAATCTGCTGTTAATGTTTGGAATCGTCAGGGCATATGTGGGAGGTTCTTTTCCTGCTCGTTTGCGTACGTATGTAGTGGACTGTGCAGAATACTGCAACATAAGATCTTTTCAATAGATTGGGGTCTAACTAGTGGTTTTAGAGTGCTTGTACAGAGAAGACCTTGGGACTAACATGGCGGAACTTGGCATGTGGACTTCCTCTTTAGACTTTCTCTTTTTCTGGGTCGATATCAATTTAAAATTTATTTATGATATCTATCATGTTTTTGTTGTTGTTGTAAATTGAGAAATTTACTTGTCGCATTTGTTACAGTTTTGTTGAAGTATCCTCAACAAGCACAAGGATGGAAAAGAGTCTCCTGGTTTATGAATTCAAAAGTTCTGTCAGTTCCAAAAGGAAAATACGTGGAACTAGACTTTACCATACACAGCATGTCATGGGTTGTGACACCTTGTGTTCGGGGTTATTATCTTGAGATCCATGATGGCATTAATCAGTCAGCCAATGTTCTTCGAATGTTCTGTGGAGATCACAAAACCGCTGTAGTGCGATCCAGAGGACGATACATGTGGTTAAGATTTTTCCCCAATAGGGGGTATTATTTTAGAGCATACTACATCGGAAGATCCTTCAATCAAACAGGTATGATGTTCTTTAGGTAATTTTCTGTATAAGGCACACGGTTAAAAGCTTTAGATTCAACTGGAACGTCACAATATAGATCAAATTATATTCAAGAAATGCAACCGACGATGGCCTAGAAGGATATGGCAGTATCTATTAGCTTATCAAGTGGCTTTATATTCACGATTAAGTTCAGATGCAACGCGCGTTGGTGGAAAAAGTGTGCTCTTTCTGTGATTAAAACACGGAGCCGGAGCAAAAGCTGTCTCGCCATCTGCCAATTTGTATAGAGCGTTTTCACATGACGTCACATTTTTCGCGTGAAAGTTTAGTCGCCATGTTGGTGTTCCACACTTTCCAACATGGCGGGATATCCTCTCTCTTAAGAACCAAAAGCAGGTTGCATTATGATGTNGCACAAAAGATGCATAAGAGTCATGTGAGGTGATAGCTGAGAGAGACTCTGGGTTAAGCAAACCTCCAACATGTACGCTGTGGTGTTTACCACTTGTTTTATAACGTAACACTGATACATTTCAGCAAAGAGCCCCCTTTTAATTAGCAAATCTCATGAAACCAAAAAAAATAACAAGTGTGTGTGGAAAACTAGTCTTTACATTTGCTCATGTCAGCAGCGTACACCCATGGGCAAATGGTGCAATTACTAAGTTGACCAATCAGAGCACACACTTTACTGTGGTTATGTTTAACTTATAATAGTCATGAGGCTAAGGGTGACCTTGTTATGTTACAGACATTGCTGCTTTTCAAATGAAAATTAATCTTTTGTTATCATGCTAACTAGATATTGGTCTCTATCACAACAGGGTCACCTTTAGCCTCATTGCAAATCAAAGGCTTGGCAACCATTAGTACACAACTGTAAAATGGTCTATTTTAAATGAATATTCTGATTGTCTGTTATCATTATTTTGATTTTGTTATTTGCACACTCCATCAAAATGCTAATAAAAAATTAGTACCATAATTGAACTTTATAAGCCAATGGAGCACTAGGTCAAATTAGTAGTCAATCATTTAAGTGGGTTTATAATGCAGGGAACAGTGGCCTGTCTTCATCCAAAATTAAAAAAATTAAAAAAAATTAAATAAAATTAACAAGGTGTTTTTGTAATGATTACATAAGGCATTGGTCTGACAAATGGTCCAAAAAGGCTAAATGCCTGGCACTGCAAACCTAAAAATAGTATTCCACGTTTGTTTAAAAAATGCAGAGGGATTCTAAAAACTACATCAGAGGACATATTTTCCCAATTCAAGCAATTTGACATCAGTGATTGCATGGTATGCCCAAATTATGAGATTTCTTCAACTAAAAACACCGACAACTTGAAATTTTTGGGATCCCTTGTCAAACTTCGTACGTAAGACAACCACCTAATTAAGTCTCTCAAGGAGTTTGAAAGAAGCTTTCGGAAAGGAGTGGACATCATAATATGCACTTGGTAAAATAAATTAGAGTGAAACCGTGAAGGGTAAGATGCTATAAAAACAAAACATAAACAAAAAATATTCGCTCCGAGTTCCAAGAGGAGCTAGGTCACGCTGAACCGGGGGTCAAATAACGCATTTATTTCAGTTCAGGTCTATTCAACTTGTCGTCAGTTTGTTCCTCCCAAAATCTTCCAACTAATGATAAACGAGGTAGGACACACTTACGTACATCAAATGACGACTGAAACGTTATTTAGTATACCATGACTGTGCATAACACGTTGACTCGTGTTAACAAAATTTCCTGCAATTT